CAGAATATTTGCCTTGTATCAGGTAAGCATCCCAAATATGAACATTTGAAATAGTCCAATGAATATTTCCTTTGAGCATCTTGTTGGCACTCCAAAAGTCAGATTTTGGAGCATTTTGGATTTCATATTTTCAGATTATGGATACTTAACCTGTATTTATCTCTCTCCCTGCGACGCCAGGATATAAACTCCACAAGGGCAGAGAATGTATTTGATTCATTGTCAGTCCCCTTATAACTAGCATGTATCTGTCCATTTGTATACATTTAGCAAATATTTAATGACTAACAGCTCAGTAGATTAAAAAAATGATTGGCTGGACACATGGCATGTCTTGTGTAGTAGCAAGAGGAGAGGTGGGCAAGTAAGGATCTGGCACCAGGCCTCGATTGCCATACTCCATGGTGGGAGGTGAGGCAGAGCCGGCCTGCCCCTTTTCCTTTCCAGGACTCAGCCTCAGCATTGAGAGGGAGAAGCCAGAGGAGAAGCCTGCCCCTCCAGGGGCCACTCGCCTCCAGCACTGTGGCCTAGAGTGCATCCTCTCCAGCTGAGCAAGTGTTCTCCCTATTCCACCAGACTCATGCTCCCTGAAATACAACTCCATTTCTTGCACTTTTGCCTTGGATTTAGACGTGCAAAATATGTGAACCTTCCTATGCAAATTAAGATTTGAATGTCATCTGCTTCACAGTTCTAGCCATCAGTTCTAAAAATAGTCATTTTATGGGATTTGAGAAAGAGATTAAGACCACAAACTTACAACTGAGTTTTTCCCTAGCAGACAGCAGCTGTTCAAACAAAACATAAATCTGGGAGCTTTGAAGAGCTGTGCTGTTGTGCTGCAGCTCAGCCCAGTAGGTGGAGGTTCCTAGGGAGGAGATATACTCAGCATGGGTGAGATCTGTGGGCCTGCAGACAGTGTGTTCATGTTCTGCCATCACCCGTGAACCTAGAGGACAGAGTGATGGAAATCGATGATTGTGAGGCAGCGAAATTAGGACTAGCATTAGTGAACGCCCCGCCCCGTGTCTGTGGCCATGTGCAGTTAGCGCCATTTGACTCTTGTTCTTGTGAAAACTACAGAACATTTGTAGCAAGGGCTTTATAGGCTGAAATACCAGTAAACAGCCAGAGAAAAATTAACACCAGCAGAAATGTGACTTTTAAAAAGTAAGATGACCTGTTAGGGACTTTCTGTGAACTTACAGGGGTCCTGAGAAGTCATACCCTGCTGCCTGACCTCTGACCAAACAGTAATCACAGGCATTCATTTCCCCAGGTCAGTGAGGACTCAGAGTCTTCCGACAAGAGGGGCAGTTTGTGTTATCTGTCACTCCTTCCCCATTTTTCTAGCACAGCTTTAAAAATTACTATGGCAAAGATACCAGCATCTTTGCCATTTTGCTGCTTTATCATCTTACATGGACTATATGCTACACAAACTAAATTAAATTAAATCAATGCATCTCCACCCCGCCCTCCTCCAGAGTAAGTTTTCACTGACTTGGGCAAGTAAATGAGTGCTGCACCCTAATTAATGTAATAGAAATTCCTGTGCTGGTATTCTTGTCCCATTCTTAGAAGAGGGAATTTCCTGGTAACATTGCCCCAGATAATAATTATTCCTTTGAGACGCTGCAGGCATCACTTCTCCAGGCTAAATAATTTCAGTCCTTTTTCTCCCAGGTTCTAGCGTTCTATCCTTTAATCTTGCGAGTCTTCTCACTCCTACTTGGCTGAGAATTCTAAGTCATCCGAGCTAATGTGCTACCTGGTTTGGAGTCACTCTGTCCTCCCTCACCTTCCAGATGTGCCAGCGACTGTGGTCCCTGTTATCTAACAATGCTACCTGGCTAATTACCTGTGGGCTCTTTTCTGCTGTGATGAACCCAGCAGATCATTTATTTGCTGTGTAAACAGCCTGTTTCTCTTCTTGTCTATTTGCCTTTTCTATAGACAATGTTTGGTTTGTTTCTGAGTAAAGTAGCCTTGACCAAATGGACTAAGGGGCCATTTGGGGCTCATTATTTTGTATGTGATTGACAGATAGTTAAATTTTTCAGTGGGGTATTACACATTCTTTAGGCTGTGGTATCAATATGCTGGCACTTCAGAGAGCCAGCACCATGTAGTGTAAGATGAGGACCAGCGGTGGAGTTGGGGAGGGATGAGAATCACAGCTCTTCCACCATTTATTGCTGTAATGTACCTAGCCTCCCTTAGCCTCTCTTACCTCATATGTTAGATGAGAATAATGTTATTCGTGTGGGAGAGTAGAGCGGATGCAGTGAATTCAGGTTTGTAAGCATTTGATGTGCTTACTGTTGGAATGTAGTTTTACAGACAAGGTTGTTTTTGTCATGATGGGTGGTAATTATATATATAAAGGTAACAGAGCTGATTTTCATCTAGTTGAAGGTCTGTGTGAGTGGTTTAAGTTCTTGGTACAAAGATATAAGAGACACATACTTATGATAATTTTATATTAAATATGTCATCAGCTGTTATACAGAGATAGTTACTATGAAAAGCAGAACTAGGAGGGAGGGGGGCAGAGGATAAATCCAGAGTGTCTGCCTTTCAGATAGCTGGACTCAAGAGGAATGGGAAATTAGAGGGAAGAAGTGTCTGATGTTTCTGCAGCCAGTCAGGTTATGCTCATTGAAAACTGTTTTTCCAAACAACCTCATTAAAAAGTGGGCAGAGGACATGAACAAATCATTTTCAAAAGAAGACATACATGCAGCCAACAAGCATGTGAAAAATGCTCAACATCACAAACCATTAGAGAAATGCAAATCAAAACCACAATGAGATACTATCTCACACTAGTCAGAATGGCCATTATTGAAAAATCAAAGAATAATAGATGTTGGCACAGTTGCAGAGAAAAGGAAACACTTCTACACTGCTAGTGGGAGTGTAAATTAGTTCGGCCATTGTAGAAAACAGTGTGGCAGTTCCTCAAAGAATTGAGAACTACCATTCGACCCAGCAATCCCATTACTGGGTATATACCCAAAGGAATATTTGTTCTGTCATAAAGACCCACACATGCATATGTTCATTGCAGCACTATTCACAATAGCAAAGACATGGAATCAACCTAAATGCCCATCAGCAGTAGACTGGATAAAGAAAATGTGATACATAAACACCATGGAATACTATGCAGCCGTAAAAAAGGATAAGATCATGTCCTTTACAGGAACATGGATAGAGCTGGAAGCCACTATCCTTAGCAAACTAACACAGGAACAAAAAAACCAAATACCATATATTCTCACTTCTGAGCGGGAGCTAAATAACAAGAACACATGGATACTGGAAGGGGAACAACTTAAGGGTGGAGAGCAGGAGGAGGGAGAATATCAGAAAAAATACCTATCGGGTACTATGCTTATTATCCAGGTGACGAAATTACCTGTACACCAGATCCCTGTGATACACAGTTTACCTACATAACCTGCTTGTGTACCCCAGAACCTAAAAGTTAAAAACAAAAATAAAACCTTTTTTTTTGTGACTTGAGCTCTAAGTTATGAATATTGTCTTAGGGGGCTCAAGGGTAAAGGGACAGCAGTGTATCTTTAAGATTAAGCATGATTTTGGTACTAATAGAGCCTCTGTCCTAACCTGTACTTTTGGGGGTTGATGATACCAGAGAAACTTTTCTGTACATTTTTTGTGTGTTGGTTTGCCCTGTCTTCAGCAGTGATTATGTATTTCTGTGAAGTTAATAGGCCCCTTGTGTGGAGCCTACCTCCCGTGTGGAATCATCTCATAAGGAGACACATCCTGGAAGTGTCCCGGAAGCCCCTAGACTTGAGTTTTCCAGACTCCTTGGCCAACAAACACGGCCGTCCCCTGGGGGCTGTGGCCATCACCCCACCCTGCGGCTGCTTGGCCTCCTATGGTAGAAAGGGAAGATGAATGATCATCAGCGCTCCATCTGTCTGGATCGGAATGAACAAATCTCTTGCTGCTTCTCCGTCACAACCCTTCACCTTTCTTTTTCCCTTGGCTAGATGGCACCCTGAGCTTTGGATTTTTTTTTTTATTATTATTATAAGAATTTTCTAACTTGCATATTTGCATTTTGGCCTAAGATAATGATGGCCATGACCCTAGCAAGGCTACCGCAGGAACCGTGTTCTCCTCAATCACCTTTCCAGAGAGCTTTCTTTCCCTACACTGTCAGTGCCAAGGAAGGCTGAAAATGCAGTGACTGTGGGTTATAACCTGTGATGGCCCCAGAAGGGCTGTGACTTCATCACCTCCTGTAATCCTCACAGGGTCCCCACTGGACTCATGAGAAAAGGGGGAGGCTTCTAGGGGTTATGGAGTAGCCCCCAGGTACACAGCTGGTAAGCCCAAGTCCATTGTTGATTTGACTCTGGACAGAAGGGAAGGGCTTTCTGGTCTACCTCATCACCACCTCCCCAAGCCATGGGACCCACCCCTGGGTAATTTGGGAATCCAGATAACCAGCCCTTCAGTAAGGAATATGAGTTACTGCCCCACAAGGTGATTGCCCTACTAGTAGAAACCTTACTACCCAGAGCTCAGTTGGGTTTTGTGACCCCAAATTAAATGAAATATAATACAGGTAAATGAACTTCACAAAATTATTACAGTGCTTTAATGCTCTGGCCTGGGGACCTAATTGCTTTTATTTTATTTTGTTTTATTTTTGAGATGAGAATCTCGCTATATTGCCCAGGCTGGTCTTTCAGCCTGGCCTCATGTGATCTTCCCACCTTGACCTTCTAAAATGCTGAGATGACAGCCTCATGCCACCACACCCAGCCCTCTAGCCAATTTTCAATAAATATACTGAATTTTCATAATATAGTGTCTAACATTCTCTACTGTGCTTTTAAAACCAGTATTCTCAAAACAGCTTATTTTATTTTGCTCGAGGCAAGTATGCATTATCCCTTTTTGCTTCCCACAAGAGCAAAAGCTTAAGCATTTGTCTTCCCTTCACTTCCTGCCAGCGTCCCATCATCTCTATCTGCTGGGGTCACCGGGACTCGAGGCTGTTGATGGCATCAGGACCAGCCCTGTACGTGGTGCGTGTGGAGCACCGGGTGTCCAGCCTGCAGCTGCTGTGCCAGCAGGCCATCGCCAGCACCTTGCGTGAGGACAAGGACGTCAGCAAGCTGACCCTGCCCCCCCGCCTCTGCTCCTACCTCTCCACTGCCTTCATCCCCACCATCAAGGTAAAGCCCTCTACCCCTCCCTCTTCCTCCTCCCTCACCTGTGCTGGCTCCCCACAGAGCCAGGGAAGAGACAGGTGAGGGTACCAGAGTGAGCACATGGGGCCATGTGCAGCTGTGCAGGATCCTGATCCTGTCATGTGCTGCCAGGTCTGCAGTCTGTCCAAGCATCATGGTCCATGTCCATGAGAGATTTGCCCTGTGTGGTGGCTGTTATCTTTCTCATGGCAAAGCTGGTATTCCTAGCTTGACTTCTGTGTCCCTCTGATGATCAAAGGAGTGACCATTATTCAGCATTTCCTATATACTAAGCATTATACCAGTTAATTTTTAGAAATCTGTCTTGTTCAGTCCTGACTTCCTGACAGATGCTGCCATTATTCCCATTTAAGGAAGCAGGAAACAAGTTAGGAGAAGTTAAGTAACTTGCTCCCTAGCTAGTTAGGGGAACAGTCAGGATCAGACCCACCCCAGTTCTAGGGCCAGCTCTTGGCACTGTGCTGAGGAGAGCCACGCCAGCCAGCGCTCAGCGTCAGCAACCTTTCATACCAGTGGGAACTCTAGAAGGTAGCATGTAGAATGCATCTGCCAGTTGCTGTTTAAGTGTGGGTCCCCCTAACCTTGGGTTTTCCCAAGTGGTTCTCTTTTGTATTGTCTCTCTCTTCTTCTAAGTAGCAGACCCATTTGTTGGTTACTTTTTTCCTGAAACATCAAAGTTTTAGAATCTATTGGTTTTTGTTTTTGTTTTTCCAAGTTGCCTTACACTATTGATTCTACACGAGCAGATCTCAACGCTGGTGTATTATATAGCATTGGAAAATACAGGTGCCCAAGCCTGCCCCTATGGATCCTGATTTCATTGTCTGATATGGGATCCTGGTTTAGATGTGTTTTGAAAGCTCCCAGGAGATTCTCACATGCTCCTACCATTGCAAATCACTGTTCTACACCACATAGTTAGCCTCTCCCCAGGCTCCCAGCCTGTGCTCTTTCTGGAACAGTGGTGTTTTTAGTTGACCTGCCCCCGTGCTCACTCTCTTTCCCTCTCTCTCTGCCTCTCTGGAGTCCCAGCTCTTCCTTTTCTTCCTGTGTCCTGCAGCCCCCAATTCCAGATCCGAACAACATGAGAGACTTTGTCAGCTACCCATCAGCCGGCAATGAGCGGCTACACTGCACCATGAAGCGCACAGAGGACGACCCAGAGGTGGGCGGCCCGTGCTACACGCTCTACCTGGAGTACCTGGGCGGGCTTGTGCCCATCCTCAAAGGGCGGCGCGTCAGCAAGCTGCGGCCGGAGTTTGTCATCATGGACCCGCGGACGGATAGCAAACCAGGTGGGTCTCTTGCCCGAGGGACTGGGACCTTGTTCTCTGTGGTCATGGGCTGTTACGCCTTACACCCCAAACAAAGAGAATGCATACTAATGAAACGTGAGCCTGTGGTGGCTGGTGTGGAACTTCGTTGAAGAAACCCACTGAAATGAACTGTTCTCTAAATGTACTTTTTGACAGGTTTTAAATCATATTTCGTGGGCAGTGGATAGCTGGGCTGTGAATAGAGGAACCATTGGCTGTCAGGCAAGGGGAAGCTAGTGCAGGCCTCCCGGGAGCAAGGGTTTCCTCTTCACAGTTACGGAGTGTTCATCCAGTGTCTTCATGTAATATTCAGACAACTTGAAAATAATAACAAGATACAGTCCCTGCCCTCCCAGAGTGGATGATAAAATTAAAATCAAACCTTCAGCCTCCTGCCCCTCCCTAGTCTACTGTTAACTGCTTTGTACCTGATTACTAATGACAATTTTTTGCTCATCCATAAAGATGTTGGTATGAAACACCCTTTTCTTCTAAAAACCTTTCCCTGTGGTGATTTTCTTTGCTCAGTTAATGTATTCAACATGCTCCCTGCACACCTCTCTGGGATCCTAGATTGTAAGCTTCAGAGGGAAGGGACTGCGTTCTTTTTTTGTGCCACTTGGTGCTAGGCTAGTGTCCGTGCACCCGTCAGTCACTGCCGGCTCAGTCTGCCACCTCCTGTGAAACTTTGCCCATCACCTATGGCAGATTGAGCAACACACTTAGTCATTGTGCTCCAGACTCTGCCCTGCTGAATCCTGTGGGCCCTGGGGGGAGAGAACTGAGTCGTCTTTGTGCCCCCAGTGGATCTGGATTTGTTTTCATTAGTTCATGCTTCCTCTCGCCACTTCCTCGCTCCAGTTTACTCTCCTGCCCATTAGTCTGGTCCCTGCCTCTCATTACGGCCTGGAGCTAGCATGACATGTGGCCTGACCAGTCACCCCAAGTCACAGTGTGGTGGGCTTATTCACTCTCAGCCTGTACTCAGCGCTGTACAGTTGCCCCACCTCTGCCTGCCAGCCTTCATTTGTTCAGCATCAGCAGTGCCACTCTACTACCCCTGCAAAACAGCAATACCGCTTGTCAATATTAGATATGAGTCTGTTTTTTCTGTCTTTTGACTCATGTGACAAGCTAGTACCAGAAACAAAGAAAGCGACCAGCAGAATTGGGGCTGGTAGGGAAGCAGACTGAAAGGAAGGAGAGGACAGATTCAGGAGGAAGGCAGGCACAGTGGGAAAAACAGGAGAGAGAGAAGCGCATATTCACGTGGGACGGAAACATGGTTTCAGGGAAAAGGAGAAGGGCCACCAATGGTTAGAGATGACTGGGGTGGGGGCCGTGGGACAGGCCCTGAGCCCAGGTTTGCAGCAGGTGTTCTCGCTGATGTCAGCACCTCTGAGGTTACTCCCCTGGGTGCAATTTTATAAAATCTGTATTGAGATTAAATGTTGACAGTAACTTAGGTGAAGAGCTTATTTCCTCATGTGTGCATAAATTCCTCACTGAAGAAGAGGACAGGAGGCTGTGCTGTGGAGTACCCAAGGACTAGGCTTGCTTGAACCTGGCCCGACTACCCCAAATGCCTGCTCTTCCTTCCTGTTCATGTTTATCAGCTTGTATCAAACACAGACCCACTCATTTGCGCACAATCCTTTGAGGGAATAAGATGTTGTATTTTTATAATTAAAAGAGTTAAAAGCTATAAAACAAAGCACATTGACTAGTGCCTACCTTGTGTGGGATACTTGAGTCTCCTGCTATTATTAAGTAATACCAGGTCATCTCTGCTTTTAAGGAGTTTCTAAACCCTTTTAGGTGATAAGACAATGTAAGCACTTGAAAAGTTTAAAAAGTCAAGATTTAAATACCTGATGACAAAAATAGAGGATATGTCACAAGGCACAGTATGACTAATTGCCACCTGAATGGCATATACAAACTATTTCAGAGGAGGAAAAGAATCCCTGACATTGAGAAAACAGGAATTTCTTTTTTCTTTTTATTGGGGGATGGAGGGACAGGGTCTTGCTCTGATGCCCAGGCTGCAGTGCAGTAGTGCCATCACAGCTCGCTGCAGCCTTGACCCTCCCAGGTTCAAGCAATCCTCCCACCTCAGCCTCCTGGGCAGCTGGGGCTACAGGTGTGCACCACACTTGCTAATTTTTGTATTTTTTGTAGAGACAGGGTTTTACCATGTTGCCCAGGCCGATAAACTCCTGGGTTCGAGCAGTCCTCCGCCTTGGCTTCCCAAAGTGCTAGGACCTATTACAGGCATGAACCACCGTGCCTGTCCAGGAATTTCTTATCGTTAAAAGCTGATTAACTCATTGAGGCCGCCATATCATTGTTTCTCAAAATGTGTTCCATGCACCACCACCTCCATGCAAATCACCTGGGATACTTATTTAAATACACGTTCCTAGGCTTACTCTTAGATTACGATTCATTAGGGCTGTGGTGGGGCCTACATACAAACATGCGACTTAATGGGTTTCCCAGGTGATTTTTATGCACTAAAGTTTGTGATCCACTGTCAGGTGACTTGGCAGATATGTCCCTCAAAATTACCAGTGTGTATTTTTATACCAGATACCATGAGTCCCAGTATTTTTTTTTTTTTTCAGACAAGGTCTCACAGTGTCTCCCAGGCTGGAGTGCAGTGGTACAATCATGGCTCATTGCAGCCTTGAACTCCTAGGCTCAAGCAGCCCTCCCACTTCAGCCTCCAGGTAGCTAGGATCGTAGGTATGCACCACCACACCTGGCTAATTTTTTTATTTTTGTGGAGATGGGGGCTCCATGTGTTGCCCAGGCTGGTCTCAGCCTCCTGGATTCAAGATCCTCCAGCGCTCGCCTCCTGTAGTGCTGGGATCATAGGTGTGAGCCACCATGCCCGGCTGCTTCCCTCCACCACCCCCACCAGTTTTCTTTAAAAAGAGATGGGGTCTTACTCTGTCACCCAGACTGGAGTGCAGTGGTATGATCGTAGTGCACTGTAAATTTCTGGATTCAAGTGATCCTCCCACCTCAACCTCCCGAGACTATAATAGGCACACACCATCACACTTGTCTAATTCTGTTTTTTGTAGAGATAAGGTCTCACTGTGTTTCCCAGGCTGGTCTCAAACTTCTGATCTCAAGAAGTAAAGTCGTCCTGCCTTGGCTCACCACAGTGCTGAGATTTACAGACATGCTATTGCACCTGGCACACACTTTCTAAAGGAATCTTTAGCCACAGCTTGCTATGGACTGACTTGTGTTCCCCTAAAATTCATATATTGAAGTCCAGACCCCCAATGTGAGGGTAGGATGACATTTAGGGGAGATTAAGATTAAAGGAATTCATATGCGTGGGTCCTGATCTGATTTAGTTACTGGCCTTAAAGAAGAGAAGGAGAAAGAGACCTCTCACCACGCACGTGCACCAAGGAGAGGACATAGGCACAGTGAGAAGGCGGCTCTCTGCAGGCCGGGGCAAAGCCTTCACCAGGAAACAGGCGTTGTCACCCTAACCTTGGGGCTGCTCAGCCTCCATAATTGACTGGACCCGTTATTTAGTGTGTGTGCATGCGCACTCGTGCGTACACACACGCATAATACTGGTTTTGTTTTTCTGGAGAACCCCGACTAATACAGATTTTGGTTCTAAGAAATGGGTATTGCTGTAACAAATCTCTAAACATGTAAAAGAAGCTTTGAAACTGGGTAATGGATAGAGGCTGGAAGAGTTTTGAGGTGGATGCTAGAAATATGGAAGTTAAGAGCAATTCCGGTGAAGTCTCAGTTGGAAATGAGGAATATACTGAAAACTGGAGGAAAGGTGATCCTTGTTATAAAGCAGCAAAGGATTTGAGTAAACTGTTCCAGTGTTTCCGTGGAAGGTAGAACTTGCAAGTGATTAAATTGGATATGTAACTGAAGAGATTTCTAAGCAAAGTGTTGAAGGAGCAGTTTGGTTCCTCCTGATGGCTTATAGTAAAATGCAAAAGGAGAGAGATGAATGGAAGAAGGAATTGTTAAGATAAAAGATGAAGATTTAGATTTAGAAAATATTTAGGCTATTCATATTGCAAAAAAAATAAGTATTAAATACATTTTGAAGAAAATACCAAAGTTATGGCTGGACTGTCATTTAATAAAGCGCTTACGAAATTATATGAGCAGAGACACTGCCAGTTTGAACTGTAGTGGATGGAAACAGGATGAAACGAAGGAGGAAGGCTGTTGGACTTCTTAGCTTTGACCAGCTGGAATGATGGAGGTGTTTGGCCACTAACATGCATTATTCTTCAAGAAGAGGGAAAAATAACTCTGAAAGTGATTCAGAGATCATTAGGTCCACCTCTTCGGTTTCAGCAGGCCAGATGGCCTTTGCACAGAGCCTTGCGGGCAGAGCCATGGGGGCAGGATCCCTACCAGAGCTATGAGGGTGATGCTGACACCCCAGTAGACCTGGAGGACAGGATATCAAACCAAAGAGGACTCCACTCAAGCCTCAAAATTCAATGGAATTTTCTTTGCGAGATTTTGGATTTGCTTGGAACCTGTCACCACTTTTGTACTTCCAGTGTCTCCTTTTTGGAATGGGAATGTCTATCCTATGCCTGTCCCACCATTGTATTTTGGAAGCACATAACTTCTGTGGTTTCACAGGTTCACAGCTGGAGAGCAGGTTTGCTTCAGGATGAATTGTACCTCAGGTCTCACCCATACTGGATTTAGGTGACAATTTAAATGAGACTCTGGACTTTTAGAGTTGATACTGAAATAAGTTAAGACTTTGGGGGCTTTGGGAATAGAATGAATATATTTTGCATGGGAGAAGAACATGAATCTGAGAGTGGCCAGGAGTAGAATCCCGTGGACTGAATTGTGCCCCCATGTCAACCCCAAAATTCATATTGGGAAGTCCTGACTCCCAATGTGACTGTATTTGGAGATAGGACTTACAGGGAGGAGATGAAATTAAATGAGATCTTAAGGGTGAGGTCCTAATTTGATAGGGCGATTGGCCTTATAAGAAGAAGACAAGATTAATGCCTGTGATCCAGCGCTTTGGGAGGCCAAATCACAAGGTCAGGAGATGGAGACCATCCTGGCTAACACAGTGAAACACCGTCTCTACTAAAAATACAAAAGATTAGCCGGATGTGGTGGCGGGTGCCTGTAGTCCCAGCTACTTGGGAGGCAGAGACAGGAGAATGGCGTAAACCTGGAAGGTGGAGCTTGCTGTGAGCTGAGATCGCGCCACTGCACTCCAGCCTGGGTGACAGAGCGAAACTCCGTCTCAAAAAAAAAAAAAAAAACCAAGGAAAGAGAGCTCTTTCTTCAAGCACATACACTGAGGAGAGGCCACCTGCAAGCCAGGAAGAGAGCCTTCCCCAGAATCCAACCATGCCGGCACCCTAGCCTTGGTCTTTCAGCCTCCAGAGTGTGAGGAAACAATTTCTATTACTGTAGCCACCCAAGTCTGTGGTATTTTGTTATGGTGGCCTGAGCAGATTTAGAGTGTATATTTAAAAAGCCATTAAAACCATTTTTCAAGATTTTATTTTAAAAATATATGTAATTGGCCAGGCGCGGTGGCTCACGCCTGTAATCCCAGCACTTTGGGAGGCCGAGGTGGGTGGATTACGAGGTCAGGAGATCGAGACCAGCCTGGTTAACACGGTGAAACCCTGTCTCTACTAAAAATACAAAAAATTAGCCGGGCGTGGTGGCGGGCGCCTGTAGTCCCAGCTGCTCGGGAGGCTGAGGCAGGTGAATGGCATGAACGGGGGGGGGCAGAGCTTGCAGTGAGCGGAGATCGTGCCACTGCACTCTAGCCTGGGCGACAGAGTGAGACTCCATCTCAAAAACAAAACAAAACAAAACAAAAAAATATATATGTATAATTCAGGAAGCCAGGCACAGTGGCTCACACCTATAATCCCAGCACTTTGGGAGGCCAAGGCAGGAGGGTTGCCTGAGCTCAGTAGTTCAAGACCAGCCTGGGCAACACAGTGAAACCCTGTCTCTACTAAAATGCAAAAAAAATGGCCAGGTGCGGTGGCTTATGCCTGTAATCCCAACACTTTGGGAGGCCAAGGTAGGCGAATCACCTGAGGTCAGGAGTTCAAGACCAGCCTGGCCAACATGGTAAAACCTTGTCTCTACTAAAAATGCAAAAATTAGCCAGGTGTGGTAGCAGGTACCTATAGTCCCAGCTACTTGGGAGGCTGAGGCAGGAGAATCACTTGAACCCGGGAGGTGGAGGCTGCAGTGAGCTGAGATTGCACCACTGCACTCCAGCCTGGGTGACAGAGCAAGACTCCGTCTCAATAGATAAATAAATAAATAAATGACTCCGTCTCAATCAATCAATCAATCAATCAATAAAATAACAAAAAATTAGCCAGCCGTGGCGGTAGTCCCAGCTACTCAGGAGGCTGAGGCAAGAGAATCGCTTGAACCCAGGAGGCAGAGGTTGCAGTAAGCCGAGATAATGTCACTGCATTGCACTCCAGCCTAGGCAACAGCAAGACTCCGTCTCCCCAAAACACCCAAAAAGCCTTCAACCCAGAAGAAATTAGCGGATTCTTGAACACTGACAGAATTGAGATGTAAAGCCCCAGACGTTGTAGTTAAGCCTTAGGTTTTAAAAGACCAATCCCAGCTTACATTTTTCTACAACTTAGATGTTTTTACAGAACACCCATGATAAACTGATGACACAATCTCTAGTAGTATGAGGTACACCCAGCCACCACCTCAGCCTTCGCAAATGTGGAGCTTATGTCATGCACTGAATTTTTAGTTGTGCTGATGATAGACGTCAGAGTGGCAATGCCTGCACATGTGGAATTATGACACTGAACAAGCAGGGCTCAGGGCATATTTTCAGAAAGCCATTTTCTTTTTCTCTTGCCACCCCTTAAATCATCATTTATTCTTTCAGAAAGTATTTATGAAGTCTCAGGTAGTCTCTACGGTTAAAGCAGGAGGCAGGACAGATGACTTTCCTTCCCTCATGGAGTTTGCACTAGTTGGGGAGACAGACAATAAAGCAATAGTTACGGCCGGATGCAGTTGCTCAGCTCTTTTAATCCCAGCACTTTGGGAGGCTGAGGCAGGAGGATCACTTGAGTCCAGGAGTTTAAGACAAGCCTGGGTGACATAGCGAGACCCCATCTCTATAAAAAAGAAAATAGTAGTTATGAGTGAAGGGATAGAGGAAGTGGTCTGGGACATGGTATTTGAGGGATCCTAGCATTGATGAGTGAGTCAGGAGCTGAGTGGGCAGTGTCTTACTGGGTTTCCTCAAGTCGAGTCACACACACTGGCATGTTCTGTAGTCTTGCGTGCATGCTTGAGTCATGACAGAGATTCCTTTGATCCAGTGATTCATAAATTAAATCATAAAACACTGCTCAGGGTTCGTGCATTAAGCCTTTTTATTTGCTTAAACACAAACACCACTGTGGCTTCACTACGGCTTTTACTGGGTCCGGGCGTGGCACCTCCTGATTCAGTGAGTGCTTTAAGAAGGGGGTGATGTGGGCAACACAGCCTGGGGCCAGCCTCCTTTCCAAGGAGCTTGCCAAACTTTTCTGCCCCAGAGGGGCCCCTGTTCATAGATGCTACCTCCAAATGCTCAGAAACTTCTAGATTGGTTTGGATTAAGAAACTCATCCTTTAAAATATAAACAGCCCTTTTGGATGGTAAAATCACTCATTATGAATTATTTCATTATGATTGAATGATTCAGCTTTTTTATTACCTGGCAAGGCACTTGGAGCCTTGAGGCAATGAGATTTTCATCAGCAAAACAAAGTAATCTGGAAGAATGGGGTCCTCATATTGAAGACAGACCTGGGGTGGTGGAGGGGATAGGGGGGATTTGGGTGGTGAGGGGATGTGATAGCACAGTGGGGATGGGCAGCCAAGGAGAGGAATTCCAACGAGGAGGAAGTTTGCCCCACAGTTTTGCCATCACCCCACTCTGCACATCATCTCACCATCTGCCTGAAGGCCCCATGCGGAGTACCCACAGAAGAACCCAAAGCCATCCTGAGAGTTCCCACCACCAGGTCTCCTAGCCTTTGCTCCACGCAGGCAAGCAGCTCTACCAGGCGGGAGAGCCAGGCCCCCACCGCGAGACCTGTGGCAATTCCAGGGGACTTTCTGGCATTCCAGACCTAAGTGGAGCGGACCTGACTCTGTCAGGACTCTAATTCAAGCAGGCCTGGCATCAGCAAGGACCTTCTCAGGTCAGAAGCAGGTTCTCAGTGAATCAATGAGTCCATAAGCCCCTCACTCAGCCCAGGTTCTGTGGCTGCCTAAAAGTCCTCATGAACCCAGGTGGGCACCTGTGTGTTGTGAGACACAACAGCACAGCCATTTTGGTTTCAGCTTTTGGCAAACTGTGTGTATTTTGTACATGCCTAGAAACATTAAAATACCATGCCCATTTTGACAACAGTAGGAGTAATTGCCTACTTCTGCTTAGAAAATCTAAAAGAGAAAAACAATGCTAAGCTTCTTTCTGTTTCAACCTCTAGGTCTAAAATGATGGCCTGTGGAGTCCATCTGTCTTTTAGTTTATAGTAATGATCATTGGTAGGGGCTAATTGATATAACTTCCCTTGAAATGTGCTGGTTGGTGTTTTACCAGATGAAGTCTATGCGAACAGCTTGATTTCTACTGTGATCGACAGCTGCAACTGCTCAGACTCCAGTGACATTGAACTGAGTGATGACTGGGCTGCCAAGAAATCTCCCAAAATCTCCAGAGCTAGCAAATCACCCAAACTCCCAAGGTAATCTCAGTCTTCGGGGTGATCGTCCTTTCTTGTGCCTCTGAATATGTGTGTTTGTGGCTGCAACAGAATCCCACTGAAACTGACCAGAAGAGTCAAAGAGCCACCTCCCTGCCTTTTCTTCCAGAAGATTCCAGCTGGAATAATTACAACTTCTATTTGTTTTGTTTTGTTTTTCCTTTGGGATAGACAAAGACACCCAGAAGTTTGCTACACCCTCAGAACTTCTCTAGGCGTTAGCAATGATGGTGGGTGGCAGAGGGGTGGCCATAGTTCCCGGGCTTATATGTTTTTTCTTATAGTTTGAGAAAAGGAATAAAAAGGTTCTCCAGTGGATGTAACATGTTGAAGAGAATGCCAGATAAGATGCCTGTAATGCCAGAGCCGGGCACAGTGGCTCACGCCTGTAATCCCAACACTTTGGGAGGTCGAGGCGGGTGGATCACGAGGTCAAGAGATGGAGAACATCCTGGTCAACGTGGGGAAACCCCGTCTCTACTAAAAATACAAAAATTAGCCAAGCATGGTGCGGGCGCCTGTAGTCCCACCTACTCGGGAGGCTGAGGCGGAAGAATCACTTGAACCCGGGAAGCGGATGTTGCAGAGCCAAGATTGTGTCACTGCACTTCAGCCTGGCAATGGAGCGAGACTCCATCTCAAAAGATTAGATAGATAGATAGATAGATAGATAGATAGATATAAGATATAAATAGATTAGATAGATAAATAGATAAGATAGATATAGATAAGATAGATATAAGATAGCTAAATAGATATAAGATAGATTAGATAGATATAAGATAGATTGATGTTAGATAGATAAGATAAGATAGATAGATAGATAGATAGATAGATAGATAGATAGATGCCTGTAATGCTGTAATTGGGAAACATCAACACATCGCATCCACTGTAGAACCTTTTTCTTCACTGAGATTTCTAGTTTTAATTCTGTGATTTTTTTTTTCTGATGCCATGAAAAGCTAAGGTATAAGTTACATACAGATACACATCTGTCCAAATGGTAAACACCTAGCCCGTTGTACAAGGGCTATCCCAGTGTCTTCCCCCAAGTTCAAGATAAAGGACATGTCATCATCCCAGAAGGTCCACCTGTGCTCCCTCCATTTGATACCCACTCCCTAGAAGTAATCACTGTTCTGACTTCCATCATCAGCTTTGCTTGTTCTTGAACTTCATATAAATCGAGTCAAACAATATGTTCTCTTTGTATCTGGCCTTTTTTTTTTTTTTTTCTCAGTGTAGTGATTTTGAGTCATCATGTTGTTGCATGTATCAGTAGTTTGTTTTTCTTTATTGCTCCATGGTATTCCATTGTAATGAGTATACTACAATTAGTTTATTCTGTTTACCAATCAATGGATATTTGGTAGTTTCCAGTTTGAGGCTATTATGAACAAATCCATGACAAACATTCTTATACAAGTCTTTTTATGGACATGGGCGCTCATTTCTCTTGGGTATAAACTTAGGAAAGGAGTTGCAGGGTCATGGGTTAAATATATGTTAAAGTTTATTAGAAACTGCTGAGCAGTATTCCAGGGTGGCTGCACCCACATAAATCCCCACCAGCAATTTCTAAGAGAGTCCCAGTTTCTTCCATCCTCAGCAGCAGCTCTGTTGTCATTTTTTAGAAATAATTCGGCCGGGCACGGTGGCTCATGCCTGTAATCCCAGCAGTTTGGGAGGCCGAGACGGGCAGATCACGAGGTCAGGAGAGCAAGACCATCCTGGCTAACAAGGTGAAACCCCGTCTCTACTAAAACTAACCGGGCGAGGTGGCGAGCGCCTGTAGTCCCAGCTACTCGGGAGGTTGAGGCAGGAGAATGGTGTAAACCCAGGAGGCGGAGCTTGCAGTGAGCTGAGATCCAGCCACTGACTCCAGCCTGGGCGACAGAGCGAGACTCCGTCTCAAAAAAAAGAAAAAAAAAGAAATAATTCTACCTTGTTCTGGTAGGTGTAGTGGCATCTCATTTCAGTTTAATTCTAATATCTCCAGTGATGGATGCTGCTTAGTTTACATGTTTCTTGGCCACTTGGCTATCTTCTTCTTTTGTGAAGTGTCTGTTCAAGTCTTCTGTCCTGTTTATTATTGGGTTGTTTTATTGAGTTGTAAGAGTTCTTTCTTTTCTTTTTTTTTTTTTTTTTTTTGGAGGAGTCTCGCTCTGTCACCCAGGCTGGCGTGCAGTGGCACGATCTCGGCTCACTGCAACCTCTGCCTCCTTGGTTCGAATGATTCTCCTGCCTCAGCCTCCTGAGAAGCTGGAACTACAGGCTTGTGCCACCACAACCGGCTAATTTTTTGTATTTTTAGTAGAGACGAAGTTTCACCATGTTAGCCAGGATGGTCTCAATCTCCTGACCTCATGATCCACCCGCCTCGGCCTCCCAAAGTGCTGGGATTACAGGTTTGAGCCACTGCGCCCGGCCCAAGCTCCTGTGTACCCTCCCCTCCCTTTAGAGCAATCACTGCAGGAGCATCTGAATATCTCATTCTTTTTTTTTTTGAGATGGAGTCTTGCTCTGTCGCCCAGCTGGAGTACAGTGGCGTGATCTCGGCTCACTGCAACCTCCATCTCCTGGGTTCAAGTGACTCTCCTGCTTCAGCCTCCCGAGTAGCTGGGACTACAGGCACGTGCCACCACACCCAGCTAATTTTTGTATTTTTTAGTAGACATGGGGTTTCACCATATTGGCCAGGATGATCTCAAACTCCTGACCTTGTGATCCACCTGCTTCGGCCTCCCTAAGTGCTGGGATTACAGGTGTGAGCCACCGCACCCAACCAAGAGTTATTTCTTTCTTCTAGATTTGAATCCTTTGTCAGATACCTGTATGGCCATATAATCCAGCACGTGGCATTCTTCTTTTGTGGTTAGTGCTTTCTGTGTCCTGTTCAGGATGTCTTTGGTTACCTAAGGTCATGGAGCCCTTCTTCAGTTCTCTTCTATCAGCTTTCTAGTTCTAGTTTTAGCTTTCATGCTTATGGATTAATTTTTGTGTTTGGTATGAATTAGAGGTGAATGCTCATTTTTTAAATATGCAGATATCCAGTTACTCTAGCAGTCTGATTGATGTCTTTTTTCATCTTTGTTCCAGAGCTTGTTAAAATTGCATGTAACATTATGAACTTTCCTATATTTCCAAAGTGCTTTTTTCCCATTATGTAAGCAGAGAGGACATTTAATGCGTGCCACTAAATCCTTCACCTTTAAACGTCCTCTTCAGGTTGCCATCTTGCTGTGGCTGGGCCTCCTCCTGCTGTCCTTTCCCCATTTGGACCTTTCACACAGCAGCCAGGCTAATTGTCCCAGATCATAGCTTTAGGGAGCTCAATCTGCCATCCCCCCATTCCTCAGGAGCCCAGTTTCTCATCAAGCTCAAAACCAGTATATATGAGACAATGCATTTTTTCACAGACTGTTTTAAACCTTACCATACTCGTTTTAATCACACTGTCTTTGGGGTAGACTGTCATTAAACACATGTGTCTCCGTGTTATAAATAAAGGGACTGAGGAGCAGAGATACAACATGGGATCAAAAGGCAGCCAAAAAACTTTACTAATTTGATTTAAATATTGCAGATGGTGAAATGCTAGATAAATTTGTTGAAATTCACACTGTTGCAGAAGAAATTAGAAAGATCACTGGCCTTAGGGTAAGAAATGACTTGTCCCACCTGCTGTTTTCCCAGGACGGATTGTGCAGGCCTCTGGCAGAAGGCAGTTTCCACGCTTGCTCCAAGGCAGCGGAGAGTGAAAGACAGTTAATTATTTGAGTTCCTTACAGATGGATCGCTGGATCTCATTTCAGTATATACTCAGTATATTTTGGGAAGGGGTCTTGCTCTGTTGCCCAGGCTCAAGTGGAGTTGTGTAATTGTAGCTCATTGCAACCTTGAATTCCTGGGCTCAAGCGATCCTCCTGCCTCAACCTCCCAAGCAGCTGGGACTGCAGGTGTGTGCCACCACACCCAGTTTCTCAATATATTTTAAAATGTATATTATTCAATGTAAAGTTGTCATTCTTTCCTCATATTCATAAAGCAAAAGCAAGGGGAGAGCTTTGTTAAATTCAGGCACTGGCTGCAGGGTGAGAACCCAACATACAGGCTGGCTGTCCAGAAAAAGAAAGGAGTGCCAGAGTCAGGGCCATGCTCACTATTCCCGCCGCGGGTGCCTGACCCCTCCTGGCCTTGCCTCCCCAGGATCAGCATCGAGGCCCGCAAGTCCCCCAAGCTGCCCCGGGCTGCTCAGGAGCTCTCCCGGTCCCCGCGGTTGCCCCTGCGCAAGCCCTCTGTGGGCTCGCCCAGCCTGACTCGGAGAGAGTTTCCTTTTGAAGACATCACTCAGGTAGGAGCCCGCAGCTGCCCTGCCTCGCTCCCCTCCTCCTGGGGGCTATGCCCAGAGGGCCCCTTCCTACCCGCTGCCTGCCCTGCTCACTGCCACCATGGGCCCCTGAGCTCTGCTCCACATCCTGCATGCCACCTGCTACCTCAGGAGTCGCCCTCAGGTGGAGCTCTGGCTTCTCCACCTGTGCCCCTCAGCGAGTTCTGATCTTACAGTCACTGGGAGAGAACCTCCCACTTCCTATCACAGCTCCCACCGTCCAGCCCTGCCTGCCTTTCCCTCCTGGCTCCTCAGTGCCCCCTCACCCTCCAGGTGCTGTAGCCACACCTGATTCTCACCTGCCCCGGGCTTTGCCCTGCCTAGATTGTCACCACACCACCTCCTCATCCTTGTTTCTGCCCCATGCTTCCAGATGGAACTCCACCACCACCTCTGCTGTGAAGGCCTCCTGCCCTGGCTTAGCTGGGAGGGGCCAACACACCTGGTGTAGAACTACCTTATGACATTGCTCAGTGACTTCTTTATACAGATCATTACAAGCTTTATCTCCTCCATCAGGTTATAAGCTCCTTAAGGGGCTGTATTTTGTCCATCTTTATTTTTGCCGTTGCATACATACTTTGGGCATAATAATTTCTTAAATTTTAAAAAATTTAATTGAATGAGAAAACAGATGATGGGTAGTTTCAGGACATCCTGGTATCAATGCAACTGATCTTTTCAGGAGAAATATCCAGGATAAAAATGGATTCAGAGTTAGATCCCTTTCTAGGCTTCTTTAAATCACACACCTGTGGACATACTGGGACACACCCCCACCTTTCCCCCAGCTCGATGCGCACCCACTCACTGCTGCCTGCCTGACTGCCCTCGTTAGCTTCTGATCTTGGAAATGGTAGATGAGGTAGAGAATGGGTGTTTCTTGCAGTGTACACTCGTGGTTTGTTAAGTAATAAATATTAACATTCTTACTAAGTGACCAATTGAAAATATGGAAATAGATTGTGATTCTTCTTTTTTCTTTTCTTCCCCCACCACAGCACAACTATCTTGCTCAGGTCACGTCTAATATCTGGGGAACCAAATTTAAGATTGTGGGCTTGGCTGCTTTCCTGCCAACCAACCTCGGTGCAGGTAAAAATCACGTCCTGTTCTCTCATTGTCCCAGTTGGAACAAACTAAAATGTCCAGTTTCCACCTGTAGTGGTTTAAAATAGAAGATGAGCTTTTAAGACAGCAAAAGATTAGCATGTATTTTACCTCTAACCCTTAACTTCGCCACAACGATTTCACAAAAATCAGAATTCTCACATGGGCTTTTTGCCAGTGGCATTTTTTAATCTTTTAACTTTTGTTTTGAGACAGTGTCTTGCCCAGGCTGGCGTGTAGTGACATGATCACAGCTCACTGCAGCCAAGACCTGGGCTCAAGCGATCCTCCTGCCTCAGCCCCCAAAGTAGCTGGGACTACAGATTCGCGTCACCATGCCCGGCTAATTTTTGTATTTTTTTGTAGAGACAGGGTTTCACCACGTTGTCCATGCTGGTCTCAAACTCCTGAGCTCAAACAATTTGCCCACCTCAACCTTCCAAAGTGCTGGGATTACAGGCATGAGCTACCACACCTGGTCACCAGTGGCACTTTCATTTTTTGCTCTAAGCCCTGACTTATAAAAACAATAGAAATATAAAAATGATAGGAATAGCCAACATTTGTATCACAGCTCTCATAGATTTCTAGAAACTTTGACTTCTAGGCCTTTTGCTGTGGGCGGATTTTTGGTAAACTCCTGAAGAAAGTGGAGAAGAAAGCATTGGAGACTATAAGAAGTTAGCTAAGGCCGGGCGCAGTGGCTCACGCCTGTAATCCCAGCACTTTGGGAGGACAAGGCGGGCAGATCACCTGAATTTGGGACTTCGAGACCAGCCTGACCAACATGGAGAAACCCTGTCTCTTCTAAAACTACAAAATTAGCCGGGCATGGTGGTGCATGCCTATAATCCTAGCTACTTGGGAGGCTGAGGCAGGAGAATCGCTTGAACCTGTGGGACAGAGGTTGCTGTGAGCTGAGATCATGCCACTGCACTCCAGCCTGGGCAACACGAGCGAAACTATGTCTCTAAATAAATAAATAAATAAAAAACAGGTTAGCTGACTATTGGTACAATTCTTAGTGGTAAATTTTTGTAAATTTGATTTCTCAGTACCAGATAAATAGCCTGTCCATGGCAAGTTTGAAACGTAGAGGAAAACTGAGCCAACGAAGTAAAAGCCGGGCCAGAACACGAACATGTATTCTGATCTGCCCTTCTGCCCAAATGAGTTGCAGTATCGTGTCATATTTACCCCAGAGACAGTAATGACATGAAAATGGCAGAAGGTCCATTCCAGAGCAGCTTCCTTCTGTTGAGGAGGTCCCTGTGTGAGTTGAGGAGCTGTGTTGCTCCCCGCGTCTTCCCCGGTTGCTGAATCATTGCATGCTGTACACCTCTGTCTGCAAGGCCAGCTCAGCCAGGGGGTCTATGGCCCTGCATTTTGAGCATGCTATGCATAACCTACTAAAAATGGTTTTTGAAAAATTCTGAATCTATCTATGAGTTGTACGAAGCAACTCATACACAGATCCTTTAAAATAGATTATTACTACAGATTAGATGTTAGAAAGACCTATTGCTATGAGGCATCTCAGAGATTTTTTAAACAGCAGTGCATTTGAGTTTTTCATTTTGAAGTATCTGAGCTCAAAGAAAAAGAGGAATAAAATGTAAACGTAAAACCAACTTAGGGAATCACAATGGACCATCCCTGTACATAGTGCAAGTAAATCTCATAATATTTTCAACAAGCTGGAAACTCTCTGATGACCACAAATGTCTGTTGTTCAGTTACTTGTTTGTGTCCTATTGATAGATAAGATTGATTTTTAATAACCACTGTTTGACTATTGTGATTATTCCCACATTAGTAAGCTGAGAACTTAGCCATCTGCCTCTGGTAAATATTGAAAAAGGGAATGGAAGTGAGAATTTACTTAGTGGGTCTTTTCATTCTCGGATGTTGAATAGGTCCACAAATAAGCCTACGTAAAGATCATACAATGAGAGAGCATGTGAGAGCCTTTGAGACAAACGATGGCCTTTTTTTGGGGGGTGCGGGGAGATAGGGCCTGGCTATGTCACCCATGCTCGAGTGCAGTGGCACCACCCCAGCTCGCTGCAGCCTCAAGCTCCTGTGCTCAAGTGATTCTCCCACCTCTGCCTGTACTAGCTAGGGCGGTAGACAAAGCACATGCCACCATGCCCAGCTAATTTTTTAAAATTTTTGGTAGAGATAGGACTTCACTGTTTTGTCCAGGCTGGTCTTAAACTCTTGGCTTCAAGCCATCCCCCCATCTTGGCCTCTCAAAGTGCTGGGATTACAGGTGTGAGCTACCATGCCCAGCCTGACCTTTTTAAAAATACCATTTTGGTCCACAGAGCTACTTTGTCAAGCTAAAAGAAATTTCCACTTGATTCTGTTAATACTAGAGAACAGAAATTAACTATTGGATACTAGAAGATATGTTATATGTGGTACCCCATTAAATAATCTTTTCAAAGACAGTATATGGCCCTCTAGTGAACTTAAAAAGTGAGTGCTGTTCCCCAGGTTGGATAATTTGTTTTCTTCAATTAGAATGATCTGGCCCATGAAATTTTTTTATTTTGAATTTTTGGCATTTTAACAATACACAGTAGATTCCACAAAATTCAAAAGATTCAGAGGGGTCTACAGTAAAAATCTCTGTCATTCTCACCATCAGCCACCTAGTTTTCTTTCCTGGAGGTAACTGATGGTCTTTTTCTAATCCCTCCTATAATTTTTTTTAAATTGCTTTGTCAATGTGAACAACAAATAATAGCACTTTAATGCATTCATTCTTAAGTCATATGGAACCACACAGAATTTTTAAACCAAAATTCATATCTCTCTTTGTGGGCAAGAGAGATAAACACACGCATGGGGCCTTTCCTACTGTTGGGCGGGAGAAGTTACCTTAGCCCATACCAGTCCATGGGCCAGCCCTGCAAAGATGCTTGGACAAAGGAGGCCTGCTGTGCCGCAGGCATGTGGCAGGTCAGCCACTAAGTGTTAAGGTGACCGCCATGGAGCTAGAATAAAGAAGCTTTGTGCTACCTGTCTCACAGGAGAGACTACTGAACACAAAAGCAAGTTCATAGGGCAGTTTCGCCCCGACTTTAACTACTGTGAAACTTAAATTTAGATTCATTATATTTAAACTTATTTTGTCTCCTCTAAATATTTTAGTTGCAATCTGGGCCTTCTCCTAATGTCCCTGTTAATCAAATTAAATCTTGAGGTTTTAAAAAAAAACTGTGTGGAAATTCCCTATAAATCTCTATCTTGATGATTAGATTAAAATTGAAAGCCAAGGCTCCAGCTGAAATGAAGGCTGTGTTTTATTCCTATATGAAACCATGCCACCCCCATCTCAACATTGCTTTCACACGGTTCCTGGGTTGCTCAAGCTTCCCTTGTTTGGCACTCTGGTTGTCACAACTATTTCCATTCAGTCATCCTTCTGATTGCAAATGAGGTTTTTGAAAAATATGTTTTTATACCCTAGCTCTTTCCAAAAGAAATAATTTATGTCTAAAAAAATGTGTAGTTCTGTAGACAATCCACTGGCAAGGAGGCCAAGCTAGACCAGGAATCTGCTGTTACTGAATCCAGAACCGTGGCTAGTATGGTCGTACTGAGTACTAGGGAGAAATGAAGAGCTCCTCTCGGCCTCTGGACCCTGCCTACACAGATCTGTCTTCTGATGGCAGGGAAACTGCAGTGTGCTCTTCTTCCCGTGACTCTCTTGACACTTTGGCTCTACTCTGGTGTGTCTCTGTTAACTGTGCCCTTCTTTTTCCCCACCAGTAATCTATAAAACCAGCCTCCTGCATCTCCAACCGCGGCAAATGACCATTTATCTCCCAGAAGTTCGGAAAATTTCCATGGACTATATTAATTTACCTGTCTTCAACCCAAATGTTTTCAGTGAAGATGAAGATGATTTACCAGGTGTGTTCACATACATCAACTTGTTTGTCACGGTCCCTCTGTCAGTGGATCGTGCAAAGGGAACAGAGTGGCAAGTTGTTGAGGTTTCAGTCTGCTCCCTAGGTTCAGAAAAGGTATTCCTGCCTCAGTAAGGTTGGTAGATATGATGGCGTGTCCCAGGGGAAAAAGTCACAGGTTGGCACCAGTGTTGGCAGGAGCGGGGCTGCTGGAGCACAGATGGTTACAGTGGCAGTGGTGCCTTGTATTTGTGGAGCACAGCTCTACCATCTGGCTTTATCCTCACAGCTATCCTCTTAGTCATGTGTCTGGATTCAGGTAAGTTTGTGGGACAGATTGGAACTAAATAAAATCAGAACTGAGACCCAGTCTCATTGATCAAGGCCAGCCTTCATCCTTTCAATCCCTGCTGAGATACTGTCTCATTCCAGCATTCCCGTGGTGCCCACAGAGTCTAGTTTCTCAAATCTGCCCTGTGTCCAGGACACAAAAGCCTTTACCTGTAACCACATCTCCTCCACTGCAACCACATGTCTCCGTGCACAGGACCCTGGCCTGACTTCAAGATAAAATCTGGTATACGATTTTTAAATTCCAGTTTTCAGATGGTAAATATCAATATATATAGCATTTTAAGTTAATGTGTTTCCTGGCGGGGGGATTCTTAAAGGATCCTATTTTGATTAATGGATTACAGTGACTTCCAGTTAGTCTGGCCAGTTAGTGTGTGTAACTATTTCAGTTCCTAGAGGGTACTTGAAAATAACTTGCTTTTCTAAGTAAAAGACCACCTGAGATTTTATAGATACACAGACTCCTCTACTTCCAACTAAGCAGGGCTCTGGAAGTCTTCATTTTTTGAGCTAGAGGAACCTGGACATGGACCGTGACTTCTCCAGTATCTGGATGTCTGTGACCCGAGGGACTGGTTCTCACAGTGGACATAGAGGGCCACCCATTCCAGCTCGGGCCCTGCTCCTCAGTCGGGCTCTGAACTTGAGGGAATTGTTTACCTTCTCTCAGCCCAGTCTTTTTACCTGAAAAAAATGATTTCTACTGCACTTTCCAACAATAGCCATCTTGCTTCTCTGATGGTGACCTCTCCTGCATGGGTGAGCAAATCTCCTAGGCTTATGTGGTCCTAATAGGCCAAGCTTACAACCACATAAATACCTGTAGTTTGGTGAAGCCTCCCATACCTGAGCTTTCTAGTGCATCCCCTTCTACTTGAGAATCTTGGAATTAGAAGTATCTTTTAAACTTTCCCCTTAACGCTTTCCCTGTTCTCCCAAAATGCACGAATACAGCCCTCTCCAAGGTTCGGCTGTTGCTGCTGTTGTCCTTATTGTCTGTGGTTCCCAATGAGAGGAGGGAACATATTGTCTCAGGGATTACATTTAATGATGGTGACTCAGCGAAGAGGCTCTTCTTCCTTAAAGGGGAAGATGCCTGCCATCAGTGTTTCATACAGACAGGAGAGCTTCTCGAAGGGCATCTGAACAGGAATGACAGGAAACGTGAGACAGACCCAAATTTGTGCGGCCAGGGGAGAGTTATGTCTCACTAGGAGACCCCCAAGGAAGGGCCAGCTTAGCTTCTGATAAACTGGCTGGCTTGATTCTGTAGTTCTTTTGATGAAAAGTCAGCCAGTGTCACATTTCCTAATCATAGACTAGCTGCCACATAGTACTTACACCATGCCTCAGATTTCTGGATCAGTGGCAGTTTTCTCTAAGGGAAATGCCACAGGGTGGCACAGTGGGCCTAGAGGAGCCAGTTGCAGAGTGCTCAGTGTGCACTTTAAACAGGGCCGTGCAGACAGCAGCTCTGAGCACCTGTCTCTAGATCACTGTTCAAACGCGCGCTCTGTTAAACTCTCACTGTGTACAAATAGGATATATTTATAGGGTTTAATTCAGCGTGGTTCTACCTTACATACTGTTTGAAATGCTAAAAAGCAGATAAAGGTCAGGCATGATGGCTCACACCTGTAGTCCCAGCCCTTTGGGAGGCGAGGTGGGTGGATCACCAGAGGTCAGGAGTTGGGGACCAGCCTGGCCAACAAGGCAAAACCCCATCTCTACTAAAAATACAAAAATTAGCTGGGCGTGGTGGTGTACGTCTGTAGTCCCAACTTCTGGGGAGGCTGAGGCAGGAGAATCACTTGAACCCAGGAGGTGGAGGTTGCAGTGAGCCGAAATCATGCCACTGCATGTCTGGGCGACAGAGCAAGACTCTCTAAAAAAAAAAAAAAAAAAAAAAAAAATTAGGAAATGATCCATCATGATGTGATACTCAGATTCACTAGAAGATTCTTTTCATTGTTTTTTCTACTACGTTTTACATGGTTCTATTTACAGAAATCTAATATGCATACATTTCTTATACACATCTCTTGCGTGACACTTGCCATACTATCCATCCCATAAGCATGAATAGACCTAATTCAGAGGCCTAGGCACTGCGAGTCCTCAGTGGAGGTTTTTCCTGTACCATTGCCCTCTTCCTGCATAAAAGGATGGGTGTTTTATGAATATCACCAGTAAAAAGCTTCTTCAGACATTTAATTATCTGTGATGGTGCCATTGAGGCACTGGTGCCAAGTTTAGAAGGTTCAAAAGTGAGCTAGTTGAAAAGTTATAACAGTACCCTTAGCTAACAGACAAGCAGCAGGCTGCCCTCAAGAACCCATCTCACTTGTGTGAGCAGGCCAGCTTTCCCCAAGCAGACACGTCTCTGTCTCTGGCAATTGCGTTTTGTTTACAGAAGGAGACTGGATGAGTCCAGATGTATTACTTATCCTGATCCGGTTTAATGGCACTGTTTTTGTAAGCAGTTCCTTTTTCTAATTTTCTTCCAGTGACGGGAGCATCTGGTGTCCCTGAGAACAGCCCACCTTGTACGGTGAACATCCCTATTGCACCGATCCACAGCTCGGCTCAGGCTATGTCCCCCACGCAGAGCATAGGGCTGGTGCAGTCCCTGCTGGCCAATCAGAATGTGCAGCTAGATGTCCTGACCAACCAGACGACAGCTGTAGGAGCAGCAGAACATGCAGGTGACAGTGCCACCCAGTACCCAGTCTCCAACCGGTACTCCAATCCTGGACAGGTGATTTTCGGAAGCGTGGAAATGGGCCGCATCATTCAGAACCCCCCTCCACTGTCCCTGCCTCCCCCGCCGCAGGGGCTCATGCAGCTGTCCACGGTGGGCCATGGAGACCGAGACCACGAACACCTGCAAAAGTCAGCCAAGGCCCTGCGGCCAACACCGCAGCTGGCAGCTGAGGGGGACGCAGTGGTCTTCAGTGCCCCCCAGGAGGTCCAGGTGACAAAGATGAACCCTCCACCCCCATACCCAGGAACCATCCCCGCCGCCCCCACCACAGCAGCACCCCCGCCCCCTCTGCCGCCCCCACAGCCCCCAGTGGATGTGTGCCTGAAGAAGGGCGACTTCTCCCTCTACCCCACGTCAGTGCACTACCAGACCCCCCTGGGCTATGAGAGGATCACCACCTTCGACAGCAGTGGCAACGTGGAGGAGGTGTGCCGGCCCCGCACCCGGATGCTGTGCTCCCAGAACACCTACACCCTCCCCGGCCCGGGTAGCTCCGCCACCTTGAGGCTCACAGCCACTGAGAAGAAAGTCCCCCAGCCCTGCAGCAGTGCCACCCTGAACCGCCTGACCGTCCCTCGCTACTCCATCCCCACCGGGGACCCACCCCCGTATCCCGAAATTGCCAGCCAACTGGCCCAGGGGCGGGGGGCTGCCCAGAGGTCCGACAATAGCCTCATCCACGCTACCCTGCGGAGGAACAACCGTGAGGCTGCGCTCAAGATGGCCCAGCTGGCCGACAGCCCGCGGGCCCCCCTGCAGCCCCTGGCCAAGCCCAAGGGCGGGCCTGGGGGGCTGGTGACACAGCTCCCAGCGCGGCCCCCACCTGCTCTGTACACCTGCAGTCAGTGCAGTGGCACGGGGCCCAGCTCGCAGCCTGGAGCCTCCCTGGCCCATACTGCCAGCACCTCCCCATTGGCCTCCCAGTCCTCCTACAGCCTCCTGAGCCCACCCGACAGCGCCCGTGACCGCACCGACTACGTCAACTCCGCCTTCACAGAGGACGAGGCCCTGTCCCAGCACTGTCAGCTTGAGAAGCCCCTGAGGCACCCTTCCCTGCCTGAAGCTGCTGTCACCCTGAAACGGCCACCCCCTTACCAGTGGGACCCCATGCTGGGTGAGGACGTTTGGGTTCCTCAAGAAAGGACAGCACAGACTTCAGGGCCCAACCCCTTAAAACTGTCCCCTCTGATGCTGAGTCAGGGCCAGCACCTGGATGTGTCCCGACTGCCCTTCATCTCCCCCAAGTCTCCTGCCAGCCCCACTGCCACTTTCCAAACAGGCTATGGGATGGGAGTGCCATATCCCGGAAGCTATAACAACCCCCCTTTGCCTGGAGTGCAGGCTCCCTGCTCTCCCAAAGATACCCTGTCCCCGACACAGTTTGCACAACAGGAGCCTGCTGTGGTCCTTCAGCCAGTGTACCCGCCTAGCCTCTCCTATTGCACCCTGCCCCCCATGTACCCAGGAAGCAGCACATGCTCTAGTTTACAGCTGCCACCTGTCGCCTTGCACCCATGGAGTTCCTACAGCGCCTGCCCGCCCGTGCAGAACCCCCAGGGCACTCTCCCCTCAAAGCCACACTTGGTGGTGGAGAAGCCCCTTGTGTCCCCACCACCTGCCGAACTCCAAAGCCACATGGGCACAGAGGTGATGGTAGAAACTGCCGACAGCTTCCAGGAAGTCCTCTCCCTGACCGAAAGCCCAGTCCCCCAGCGGACAGAAAAATTTGGAAAGAAGAACCGGAAGCGCCTGGACAGCCGAGCAGAAGAAGGCAGCGTTCAGGCCATCACTGAGGGCAAAGTGAAGAAGGAGGCTAGGACTTTGAGTGACTTTAATTCCCTTATCTCCAGCCCACACTTGGGGAGAGAGAAGAAGAAAGTGAAGAGTCAGAAAGACCAACTGAAGTCAAAGAAGTTGAATAAGACAAACGAGTTCCAGGACAGCTCCGAGAGTGAGCCTGAGCTGTTCATCAGCGGGGATGAGCTCATGAACCAGAGCCAGGGCAGCAGAAAGGGCTGGAAGAGCAAGCGCACCCCACGGGCTGCTGGCGAGCTGGAGGAGGCCAAGTGCCGGCGGGCCAGTGAGAAGGAGGACGGGCGGCTGGGTAGCCAAGGCTTTGTGTACGTGATGGCCAACAAGCAGCCGCTGTGGAATGAGGCCACCCAGGTCTACCAGCTGGACTTCGGGGGGCGGGTGACCCAGGAGTCTGCCAAGAACTTCCAGATCGAGTTAGAGGGGCGGCAGGTAAGACCACAGACTGGGTGGCGCTGTGGACCCAGAAGGCGAGGGCATCAGGGCCTCGGCCTTCAAGGAGCATTTTTCAAAAGGCCAAATGGGAAATGTGGAAAACAACAAATACCTCTTAGGTGGAGCTCACGGGGTTATGATTTTTAGTCTGCCCACTGCCGTCTTGTATTTTTTTTTCTTTTTGAGGCAGAGTCTCGCTCTGTCACCCAGGCTGGAGTGCAGTGGCGCGATCTTGGCTCCCTGCAAGCTCTGCCTTCTGGGTTCACGCCATTCTCCCGCCTCAGCCTCCCGAGTAGCTGGGACTACAGGCACGAGCCACTACACCCGGCTAATTTTCTGTATTTTTAGTAGAGACGGGATTTCACCGTGTTAGCCAGAATGGTCCCTATCTCCTGACCTCGTGATCCGCCCGCCTTGGCCTCCCAAAGTGCTAGGATTACAAGCGTGAGCCACCACGCCCGACCTTAATTTTTTTTTTTTTTTTTTTTTTTTTTTAAAGAAATGGGAGTCTCACTATGTTCAGTCCAGGCTGGTCTCAAACTCCTGGGATCCAAGTGATCCTCCTGCCTCAGCCTCTCAAAATGTTGGGATTACAGGCGTGAGCCAACACACCTGGCCTGCACTCATATTTGTAAAGAATATGTTTCTACTTCTATTCATTGACTTTTCTGGTTTTGGCATCAGATGGTGACTTCCTAAGGAACGTAAGGGTTAGTTTTGCTCACGCTGTGCACACAAACACACACACATATGCACACAGTTTTTCCTTCCCCATTAAATCAGTGGTCACTGGTTACCTTGTTATGCTAGTCAATAGGACCCACAGCTGAGCCATGTATTAGAGCTTAGTTACATTTCCTTTTTTGTATTCTTTCCCTAGACATACCAACTTCCTGTTTTCTGTCTGTTTGCTCGTTTGCCTATTTCTCTGTATATGGAAGTCAATACCCAGTTCTCGAACCAGATGTAACCTCATGGTGCAGCTGAACACATTGGGTCCTAGTTCTTCCCTGCTCCAGCCTTTAAGGGTTGCTCTGTCCTGCTGCCAATGTCCCCCTTCACCATCCTGCAAAGTCCCTTCCCCTCTCTACTTAAATTCACATTTTTGTTAATTCATTCAATAAATGTTATTGAGAATCTGCTGTGTGCCTGGCAATCCTCTAAGCCCAGGGGTTGGCAAACTGGCCTTTGGGCCATTCTGGCCAGCTGCCTCTTTTTGGAACAAAGTTTTATTGGAGCACAGCCACACTCATTCACCTGAGTGTCGTCCCTGGCTGTTTTTGGCCAGACAACAGCAGAGTTGAGGAGTTGTGGTAAAAACCGTATAACCCACAAAGCCTAAAATATTTATTATCAGCCCCTCACAGAAAGTTTGTCAACCCCTGCTATAGTACTAGAATCAGGGCAGTGAGGAAGACAGACAGAGATCCCGCCGCTGTGGAGCACACAGGTTGAGTACCAGAGGCAATGAGTGCAGCCCATGTGCTAGGGCGTGGTGCCACTGTCTGATGGGATGTGGGCACAGGAACTGGTGAGGAGGTGGCCACCAAGTCCTTCCCTGAGGCAGCGGCGTTGGACAGTGGCAATGCTGCTTCTCTTCTGGAGCCTCTGGCCTGTTGGTGCTTCTTTCTGCTTTTCTTTCTCCTTTCTACTTCCTACGTGAAGAAACCACTTCATTTGGTCTATAGCATTCCCCCCATTCTTTTTTTTTTCTTTTTTCTTTTAGATTCAAGGGTACATGTGCTTATTACATGGGCATTACATGCGTAATGGGGGGTGGGCTTCTAGTGTGCCCATCACCCAAACATTGGACGTTGTGCCCCCAGGTAACTTTTCATGGATGGAGCTGGAGGCCATTGTCCCCACATTTCCAAACCTTGCTTATTGTCTCCATTGTGTTAACATGTTCCTCAGTCCCCTTGTTTCCTACAAACTTGGAGTTAGATATAGAAGCTTCACCAGATTCAGAGTCACTTTTGTTAGCAAAAGCATCTCATAGACAGTGCTGTCTGCTTCCATCAGGAGCCATGCAGACCCAGCTTGTCGCCCTGCTCTCCTTGTTTTTTTTGTTTGTTTGTTTGTGTTTTTTTATTTGTTTTTTTTTTTTGAGACAGAGTCTCCTCTGTCGCCCAGGCTGGAGTGCAGTGGTGCGATCTCAGCTCACTGCAAGCTTTGCCTCTCAGGTTTATGCCATTCTCCTGCCTCAACCTCCCGAGTAGCTGGGAGTACAGGCGCCGGCCAATTTTTTGTATTTTCAATAGAGACGGGGTTTCACTGTGTTAGCCAGGATAGTCTCAATCTCCTGACCTCATGATCCGCTCGCCTCAGCCTCCCAAAATGCTGGGATTACAGGCATAAGCTGTCACTCCCCGCCTTTTTGCCTTGTTCTGTAATGTCTTTGCTTCCCCTGCCCTCCTCCAGGTGATGCAATTTGGACGGATTGATGGCAATGCGTATATTCTAGACTTCCAGTACCCATTCTCAGCCGTGCAGGCCTTTGCAGTTGCCCTGGCCAACGTGACTCAGCGCCTCAAATGAAGAGACTGGTGTGGGGAGGAGAGAGATGCAGAGAGCCTTTGGAAGAGGTCTTCGGAGATGCCAGAGGAGCCCTGAAGGGGCCGGATACCTGGGAGGACCAGAAGCCAACAGCGAAACTGGAAAAGCCCAGCAGGCCCAGGAGAGGGCGCTGACCTGTGGTCATCATTTATTTGGTTGGGCTTTATTACCTTTTATTGTCTGTTCTTCTTTTCTTCTTTCATTTCAGTGGCATTTGGAAGCAAAGAGTGCTAGGCACCTGCTGTTCTTTCCGGAAACGTAGCTTGGCTGTGGTAATGCTCTACTGGGCCCTTCAGAATGAAGACAGACTGCCTTAGAGCCTGCTATTCTTTCACACATAGGGAGGATGCATTCTCATGCATTCTCCTCCAACATCACCACTAGTGTAAAAGCAAAAAGCTTTTACAAAATTCTGAAGATACAGGTTCTTGGGGAACGGGGTGGGGACAGCATTTGATTTACACCAATTATGTTACTCCCCAAAAGGTGACTTAATTAAAATCGGGCATTTGGGCAGACACACTGTGTTGGACCAACAAAGTAGGATCTTTTCGGGGTGTTCTCACCAGGTAGAAATGTGATTTGCTCATTGAGGATGTTGGGGAAGGGACGAAGGGAGAAGAAGAAACTGCACATATACACGGGTTCACATCACTCTGCAGACAGCGGTGTGACTCAACGTGTGACTTGTAGCAGCAGTACGAGGGCTACACTCCTGTGCTGACGATGTTTACATTGAAAGCCTCCACTAGTTTCATCGTATGTCAAAGTTCCGTAGGATCAGTGATGATCATTCAGTATGCCTGGTTCTGGGAGAAGGTGAGAGACAATGGAAAGATCCTGGCCTGTGGTAGTGGTAGCAGTTTTCTCAAATAATGTGGTAGCAGTCACTAGATCCCCACATGCTGAGAAACAGCCTCTACTCTCTCTGCCCTTTTACTTTTTAATCTGGAACACATTACTGTAAACGTGATCTTTCCCGTGAGATATCCTGTTCTATGCCTTCCCATTCTAAAAGTGTGGATGAGGCTTGATTTAAAACCACTCCTTTTCTCCTCTTGGCTACATTAAAATTCAGTTGACTACAAATGCTTTCTATGAAATTATAAATGTTACCAAAAAAATGTTAAGTGTTCACCAGGGTATTAAAATACATGACTATGGTCAAATCTTTGACAAAATTTTCATGATCTTCTTTAAGAAAAAAAGTTGTTTATTAACTGTACAGACTGTTTACTAAGGAGCTAAACCACTGAGAAAACGTTGTTAAAATTATACCTAGGTAGTTGGTTGATCACACTTTGTTAATTGTATTAAAAAAAAAAAACTACCTAGAATATCTCTTCCCACTTCCTCCTCCTCATGAGAACCTGTGGGCAGTGTTCAAGCCCTGAGGATAAAACCCAGTGATTTTTGTTGTTGTTTGTTTTTGTTTTTGTTTTTTCAGTTATTCTTACCTGTGATGTTGTTTAGGATCAGGCCCCTCTCCTGGGCCTGCTGTGCAGGAGCCTGCACAGGAACTATCTGCTGGCGTTGGGTTCCAAATTTGGATTTTATTTGGAAGCAGACAAGTAGAAGATGCTACAGAAAAGTATTTTCAAATTTAAAAGTTTTTTTAATCCCCTGTTTTAGTTAAAAGTTACAAAAGAAACCGACCCATTTTTTTCCCAGAACAAGATGACATGACATCACTCCTGATTCTCTCCAAACCCCAAAGAAATACTGACGAGGTTTTCTGATATGGCAAAGGACATCTCCCATGTAATACCAGGGTTTCTCATTTATATTTAAAGTATTGGGCCTGATATTTTTAGTGGGTGCATTCTTCCAGAAAGAATTTAGCAATGTTATCAGAATTAATTCTTTTATATGAGTTTCTGTAGCTTGATATGGTGTTTCAGTGCTTATTAGTTGTGCAATAATGGTTATAGCCTGTCAGATAATTTAAATGCAATTCCCCTGTTTTATTGTCTAAGAGATAATTATTTATCTTGCTTTTCATAGTGTTCTTAGGAATTATTTTGTGTTATGTTTTGGTGAGTTATGCCCATTTTATTTATTTAGAAAAACAGTATCTTTGTAATGACTTACTTGGTTGCAGTATATTTTGCTGCAAGAAATAGGATATGACAGAAGGTTTTTTTTTTTTTTTTTTTTTTTTGAGACGGAGTCCCACTCTTGTCACCCAACTGGAATATAGTGGCACAATCTCGGCTCACTGCAGCCTCTGACTCCAGGGTTCAAGTGATTATTTTGCCTCAGCCTCCCAAGCAGCTGGGATTACAGGCACCCACCACCACCCTTGGTTAATTTTTTTGTATTTTTAATAGAAATGGGGTTTCGCCATGTTGGCCAGGCTGGTCTTGAACTCCTGACCTCAGGTGATCTGCCCGTCTCGGCCTCCCAAAGTGCTGGGATTACAGGCGTGAGTCTCCACGCCTGGCCGATAGAAGGTTTTTTGCTGGGCAATTTAACTTTCTAATTGAGAAAAAATTCATTTTAATCATTTAAAAATCTTTTTTTAAATTTTGTGTTATTGATTCTATACAAAGGAGACTTTTTTTGAGATAACACTCAAATACTATTCTCTCTTCTTTTGAAAATTTTATTTTTATCTGAAAATAAAAGGTGATCTGAAATAAAAAGGGGAGGCCTATTAGAATGAGAGTAGCCAAGGAAAGAATTACTAGGTAATAAGCTTCACTTTCTGTGTTCTAATTGCTTTTGAGATATAAAGACCCTGAAAAAGCCTGTTTGGAACCTGTTTAATAAGAGCAAATATAGGGGAAAATCCTTGAAATGAAAGTTACAAATATATGTGAGAAGAAAAAAATGGATTTTTTAAGCAAATAATTAACTAAGCTTCTAAATTCCTAGCTCACTCCCCAAAAGGCATTTTTCCCCAATGGAGGCACAGGCTTCTGTCTCAGATGTGTGGCACGCATGAGTTTGTACCGGAGTGACCCCAGCAGCCACTGCTCAACTCCTCTCTCCCAGAGGCCTGAAAAGAGAGGCTGCCCTCCTGCGCCAAGGCAGGCGTAAGCTGCGGGCTGTACGCTCCTAGTAGGGTGACTTTTCACTTAATGGTGGTGGTCTTATTTTCAACTACGGTTTCATTCAGTCAGGCTCTGTTGACTAAATACGACGAAAATTTATACTTTATGCAGGAGATTTCTAAAAATTTTATGTTTATTAATAGTTTATGAATATCAAGATACCTCATTGAATCCCTAAATTTAAAAGCAGTCCAGTAAAAGGTTAACTGTATAAAGAATCTATGACTTCTTGAGGGAAGTATGATATATTAACAAATACAATTCTAAATTTGTTTTAGCTCTAACCTCATCAAACCAAAGGCACAGATTTGTGTACAATATACCCATTGAATGTATATCCCGAGAAAAACTAGGGCCAAAGAAGCCGGAAAATCTCAAAGCTCTAATGGCAGCATAAATCAAAGAATTTTGCAGGCTAATATTTTTTATCCATAGTCATTGCTCCCTTGTCAAGTGTCCCACAAGGACATGGAAGAATGTGTTATGTTCATCCTGTACTCGTAGCAAAAAGTCAGGAAACCCCAGGGTCAAGCCTGCTCTGCCACAAGGTTGGAGGGTGATCTTGGGCAAGTCCCTGGGGCTGGCTAGACCTCCATTTGTCCATCTGTGAAATGAAAGGGTCAGCTTGGACAACCCTCTAAACTCCCTTACAGCTCTCACAGCCTAAGAGCACAACACTAAACAGCCTCATCATTCCACTTTTCATGGGAAGTGTATTTCACAACATTGCCTTTGTGGAGAGAAATATTTCTTTTCCTGTGTTAATGAGCTATGTACTGAATATAAACCAGTGCATTTAAAGTAATATCTTTAGAAAATACACCTCTAAATGCATTTGGAATTGTGTTCTCATAGAATACACAAAAGTACTGATTCTAGGTAAGAGGAGTCTCCACGTGTGTGCCCTGCTCAGCTGGGTGTCCATGAGAACAGCCCTGAAATAAGTCACTACTCGTCCCCAAAACCACAGGAATATATACCTAGGTCACCTCAAATTCCTGAGTGTGCTCTGCCATGTTACACAGTCTTCAAATTCAACAGACTTCTTGAAAAGGAAAGTTTGGCCCAGTAACTGTGGAGAAGGAGTCCATGGTGTCGCTGTGGGCCTGTATCATTTGGCCAAGTCAATGGTTGTAAGCAAAGTTAGTGGAGACAAAAATGTGTCCAAAATGTCGTTTGAGTTCCTGGGATTTCTGTAACAGCACAACTCAGAACTCTTCAGCATTTGTGTGATTCCTTACCTCTGGCTGATAAAACTCTGATGGGTTGTGGCTTACTTTGTTTCCATTTTCTTTGGCTTTGTGCAATTTTTGTGTAACTTGTACCTATATTTTCTGTTTACAGTTCTTTTTAAGGGGAGGGGTAGGGTTCTAAGATCTTGTTGTTTATTGTAGATAAACATTTTTTCGTGTTGTAGAAAAGCATGGGTTATGCATTTGACTGAAAAAGGCACTGTATTATTTACCAAAGGGGTATTGTTTTTGCATTTGTTTATAAATGCATTATTTTGGTACTGTAAATTTGGACATAATTTCTGAGTTTATTACTACTGGCATTTTCTTGTTTCCCTTTTTTTTTTTTTTTTTTTTTTTAACCATAAGTGCGCGATGCAGGTGCATAGGTCCCAGACCAAACTAGACCACCAGCATGTTCATGTCCAGACCTCGGCAGTGGCGTGCACTGCTTGTGCACCTCAGTTCCTCCAGTGTTGGTTTGTTTGTTTTTAAATTCAGCATCCTGCTTTGTTTTACTTTACAAGCAAGATCTGTTGTGATTCCCAAATGCGTTTTAATGATCTCATCCTTATTTGCCTCTCTTCTTATGTATTTTGTGTATTAGATTGTGCAGGAGATATTCTAGAAGGCATTAATGGTTTGCATTCAAAACGATGTGGTTTGTCCAAGTTATTTTCTGTCTTTATTATTGAGATGGATTAATCTCCTTATTTTTTTCTTGATGATTTGAAGTTGTAAGAGTTGTCCAGCTATTGCTTAATAAAATTTTGCAGATCAAAAAAATTGTGTGCAGAATTCTTGAGCCTCGTGAGGAGCAATCACCTCGCTCCATTGGCATGACCTCCCCACCCTCAGTTGCTTCCTGGGTCTCTTGGTAACTGCCAGCAGCTACTCGAGCCCCTGAGACCGTGGTCATCATGTTGCCCATTTGGGGAAGTCGGAGATTGTGCTGGCTTCTTGATGATCTGGTTTACATTTGCTTTTTCATGGCTTTTTAAAAGAGGACTCGATTAAAAGTGCATCTACATAGCACCTAAAGGTCAGTTGCCAAATATATTAACATCTTTGTTAATTTGTAGGAAACTTAAACCTAGGTTTTAAGCAATTCGACTCTTAAGTGCTCATATGACTGTTAACTGTTGTTGTTCCTCATGAGTGCTTAGTGAGCCTCCTTCCTCTGCCCTGAAGTTCCCTATGACTATGGGAGGTGGGAAGGTGGGGCATGGGAGGTATATCTGTGATAATACATGTGTACATTTACAGAATTACCTTTTTGGTGTTTTTCAAAGAATAAGGAATCAGTTTTGCTCTAACCTAGCTCCCAACATTCACTGTAGAAGAGAAATAACTGTCTCGTGGAGATTGCGTTGCAGTTTTCCAAGGATGAAAGATGCTAACCGCAGCCAAATCTCAACTCCATTATGAAGTGGATACTTTTTGCCACTCTTTCAGAAGAAAATGGAAGCAGTGAGAGGTTGAAATGATTTCTGGATTCCATAGACAAAAAACCAATCCTGAAACAGAATCCAAGATTTCTGGGTCACATTAATGAATAGACCTGGTTTATTCCCAGCTCCTCACTCTGGTGTGTGGTAAAGATTTGCCTGTAATGAGCTCTGAGCTACTTACACTTACTCATCTCCCATGAAAACAAGTATTGGCCGGGCGCGGTGGCTCAAACCTGTAATCCCAGCACTTTGGGAGGCCGAGGCGGGCGGATCACAAGGTCAGGAGATCGAGACCACAGTGAAACCCCGTCTCTACTAAAAATACCAAAAAAATTAGCCGGGCGCGGTGGCGGGCGCCTGTAGTCCCAGCTACTCAGGAGGCTGAGGCAGGAGAATGGCGTGAACCCAGGAAGCGGAGCTTGCAGTGAGCCGAGATCGCGCCACTGCACTCCAGCCTGGGCAACAGCGTGAGACTCCATCTCAAAAAAAAAAAAAAAAAAAAAAAACAAGTATTATAGATGGGCCACCCCTGCCCCTCATCAGGTGAGCTCATCCGCTTTACAGAATGAGATTTGAGTCCTTGTTACTGAAATCTGTAGAGTGAACCTTCGGCTGACCAGTTTTATTACTCACCCAGGCTTCACAGAGGAGCCAGTCTGTGTGGATTTGTTTCCCTACACTTCCTAGAAACAGCTGTTTTACGCGCTGAAGAACAAGAAAGCCATTCATTTGAAGTGCCAGCTCATTTCTTGAACCCATTTCAGAGTTCCTGTCTGAGCGATCGCTTCAAGAAGGCACCTCACCATAAGTCATAGGAATTTTGTGTGTGTGTGTGTGTGTGTGTGTGTGTGTGTGTGTGTGTGTGTGTGATGGAGTTTTGCTCTTGTCGCCTAGGCTGGAGTGCAGTGGCATGATCTCAGCTCACTGCAGCCTCTACCTCCCAGATTCAAGCAATTCTCCTGCCTTAGCCTCCCGAGTAGCAGGGATTACAGGCACGCACCACCATGCCCAGCTAATTTTTGTATTTTTAGTAGAGATGGGGTTTCGCCATGTTGGCCAGGCTGGTCTCTAACACCTGATTTCAGGTGATTCACCCATCTTAGCCTCCCAAAGTGCTGGGATTACAGGTGTGAGCCACCGCACCCGCCACCACGCCCGGCAGTCATAGGAATTTCTTAAGCTTCAACCACCGCTCAGGCAGCATGCAGACACCTTGCAAAGCATCTTGTTCTTTGTCCTCTGACCTGCCCATGTGTTCTTCCAGGTCACTGTTGGGAATCCCAGCATCCCATTTGCCACTTAGCTCTGGCTGGCTCCCAGGCTCTCCCCTACACCTGGTGATGGTGCAGCATCCTCACTGCAGGCACAGCTATGGGATAGCTCTTGTCCCGGGAAAGAGCGGGGAGCTTGGATGATAGAGGCAACCAGTCACATTGCCTTCTCCCAGTTGTGCCAGTCATTTCCCATCGTCTTCAACCCTGAGGGTATGGATAGAACCTAGTGTTTCCTTTTTCCACTCCTCCAAAAGTAGAGAAGTGCCCAGCCCTGACACCATTCCCGTGCTGTCCTGGGAACCAAGGGTCTCCATGTCTCCTGTTGTTTCATCCTCCAGCTCATGTGAATGGTCTGTGGTTCCTCCTTTCACATGAATCAACTCGGTGTCTCCTGTGTCACCTTGAGGATCTTCTAGGAACCACTGATCAGAATCTTGCACTTTCACCCAGTAGCAGGGGCATTTTCTTTTATTTCAATGTCTGGGGTCACTGAAACGGGCTTGACCAGTGTTATATTTTCTTTCTCTCCCCAGTAAAAAGGCAGGCAGACCAGACACCACAGTACGTGCGTGACACACTCATGCGCTCCCCCCCCAACCCCTATGAGAAGGAGACACACCCTCCGGTGATGAACTTCTTTCTGTGCCTGAGTCCATGGGGTCCTCTTGAGTCCCACTTCCTGCCTTTCTCAAGCACCTGCTTCTGACTGCAGGAGGCTCTTCCATCCCAGGATTGTGTTTTCTCATCAGTTTCCTTTGTTACAGAACTTCAGAGAAAACATTCCTCTAATAGAAAGAGACTGCCTTCCTCCACCCTTTGGAACAACCAGTTCCAGCCTAGGTCCCATTTCCTGCACTGGTGGAAGAAAAGTCTCTTCTTCGCTAAGTGGTTCCTTTGATGACCTTACAGATTCAGGCAGCTTGGGAAGGGAAGTTTCTAAAAGCCACAGAGCATCCAGCTCATGGAACCCTCAGGATCCCTGCCCATCTTAGGCCACATGGAGTCAGCCTCGCGCCCCCAGCCCATCTGTTCCTGTGCGCTGCACTCCAGCGGGTCTCACCGTTGCATCCAGGGTTCCCTCCCACAGGATGAGCTTGTAAACATTCTCTTTTTCTAACACACACACTTGCCAGCAGGTGCTGGTGTAAGCCAAGCTGAGCTCGTGGGAGGATAGCAAGAGAATGAGCCCAAGAGTCTTTGTGGGAGACACAGGCCACGTTTCTCCACCAACAGCTCCTGGGAAGAGCGGATGGGTTAGACTAGACCAAACCAGCCTCTTGAGAACACCACACTGCCCAGACCCACTTAGTGCCTCCGTGTAACCCGCTGGTTAGAGTCTGCCTGCTAGGCAGCCAGAAGCAGCAAAAGCCCAGCCCCTCTGTCCCATTCCTGACCTGGTCCTCCACACTCACTGTGGCAGCAGCACAGGCACCCCGACTGGGCCACAGCGAGCTGGTGGCCGTGTCCCTGGCTCTGCTAACTTGGCCTATCTCATTTCTTAACCTGTTTTTCATGATGTGGACCTCTTGAGAGTATACTTGAAAAAAAGTGAATTATCTATGTGGATAAAGGACTGGTACACGATGTTGAAAACATAACCAACCACCAGGTGTGAAAGCATCTGTGCCATGGGACTTCTTGTTTGCTTGTTTTGTTTAATAGGCATATTTTCTTTAAATAAATCTTCCAGTAGGAAATGGAGAATGCATTGCCTTTGCTTAGAAGAGGCCCCTGTGGCCTGGCGCGGTGGCTCAAGCCTGTAATCCCAGCACTTTGGGAGGCCGAGACGGGCGGATCACAAGGTCAGGAGAACGAGACCATCCTGGCTAACACGGTGAAACCCCGTCTCTACTAAAAAATACAAAAAACTAGCCGGGCGAGGTGGCGGGCGCCTGTAGTCCCAGCTACTCGGGAGGCTGAGGCAGGAGAATGGCGGGAACCCGGGAGGCGGAGCTTGCAGTTAGCTGAGATCCGGCCACTGCACTCCAGCCTGGGCGACAGAGCGAGACCCCGTCCCAGAAAAAAAAAAAAAAAAAAAAAAGAAGAGGCCCCTGTAAGAAGTTACCTGTAAGTGCCTATGTGTAGCTCACCAGTATTCCCCTACTGGGAACACCAGCACTTCCACATCACAGTTCCCAAAAGGACTTTAAAGTCTCAGAACCTGTCCCCTAGGCTCGTTTGGCTCCTGATTCCAGCCAGGCTTTGTGAATGGTTCTCTGCACAGTCTTATCTTCATCCTCATCCACTTCCTCTAGAACGTTCGTCAGCCCCTCCCTATGGTCTGTTCCAGTGTCGTAGGGGGCCTTTTCTGTTTATTTGTACCCTTTTTCAACCTGAGTCAGGTGATCCCACCCGTGTTTTCTGCTTTCCTTCTACAGAAGGTAAGAACTGTATCCGACTTGCCTTCCACAGAAGTAGGTGTCAATGGATTGTTCACCCTCATGGATAACCCTGCCCAGTTAGATCCTATACCAAGAGATCACACGACCTCTCTGGCGAGCGCATCTACACGTTCTCAGCGAGAACTTGGCCTCCTCACCTGGCTGACCCCGTGCATAGTCACCGAGTGTCACTGTAGGTCCCCTGTAATGGAAGCCAACACCACAGCTGGCTTTTTGCTGTCAAGGAGTTCTGCTTTCCTCTGTGATTTCTGCCGCATCCTGTTCATTTCTGTCTCAGTCTTGGATTTTTCAGCTGGAAGGGCATCACGTACTGTTTTCCTACTTGCCTTTTCCAACAACAACTTTACCTCTTCTGGATCTTTCTGTAGCTCCTCCAAGCTGAAGCCATGGCCGGCCTGGGTCAGACCAAAGGCGCGAGCGGCAGCCGCTCAGGGTAGGGAACAGGAAAGGAAACTCCCCAGGGAACGAGCCCTCGACCAGAGCGCAGACCCTGAGTGCAGGGTCCTCGGCCTGCGCGCGCACCCGTCCTGTACGTGCACCCGCCCTGCGCCCACCCGCTCTAGGCGCGATCCCGGCCGCGAGCACTCCGAGGGAGTTTTGTATGGAGACGGAGTCTCGCTCTGTCGCCAGGCTGGAGTGCAATGGCCCGATCTCGGCTC